TGTGTACCGCCAACACCCAGTAATAAAACTGTAATTTTACATAAAATTTTAAAGATCTGTAGCTGAGAGCATTATTTAAATAGCGACACATATTATATAAATAGTTAATTTCTGAGTTTGAGGCCAGCCTGGTCTACAGAGTGAGATCCATGACAGCAAGGGCTACAAGGAGGAACCCTGTTTCAAACAACTGGAAAAAAAAGCTTTATTATCTTTTATGTGTTTGAGTGTTTACCTGGAGGTTTATGTGTGCATCTTGTGGATGAGGCACCGTGGAGGTCAGGATAAGGGGTCAGATCCCTTGGAGCTGGAGTTACACATGGTTGTGAGCCAGTACATGAGTGCGGGGATGTAACCGAGGTCCTTTACAGAGGAAGCCAGTACTTTAACCACAGAGCAACCTCTCCAGCCCCCACATTAAATTTTGGAGACAAAGTGTCACTGTTTAGTGCTGGTTGGCCTGGGACTGGATATGCAGACCAGGCTGACCTCAAGTTCGGAGCTATTTGTCTCTTCAGTGCTGGAGTTGGTGTGTGTCACCAGGTCCAGCCGTTTGTTTTGTTTTTCAAGACAGGCTTTCTTTGTGTGGCTTTGAAGCCTGTTCCAGAACTAGCTCTGTAGATCAGGTTGGCCTTGAACTCAAAGATCCACCTGTCTCTGCCTCCCAAGTGCTGGGATTAAAGACCTATGCCACCAAACCCAGCTCCAGCCTTTTTTTTTTTTTTTTTTTTTTTTTTTTTTAAGAGTTGTATTGGCTGGTTGTTGTGGAATATTAACTATGTAAAGATGTGTTACCTTTGTTTTGCCTTGCCTGCCTACGGCTCCTGATTGGTCTAATAAAAAGCTGAATAGCCAATAGCTAGGCAGTAGAGGGATAGTGGAGCTGGTGGGCAGAGGCAATAAGGAGGAAAAGAATCTAAGCAAAGAAGAACAAGAGAGAACTAGGAAGAAAAGGAAGATGATAGGCAAGGCATTGGTGGCACATGCCTTTAACTGCAGCACTCGGGAGACAGAGGCAGGCAGATCTCTGTGAGTTCGAGGTCAACCTGGGTTATAGAGCCGGAGTTCCAGGACAGGCACCAAAGCTATACAGAGAAATTCTGTCTCGAAAAACCAAAAAAAGAAAAAAAAGGATATGATGCCTGGGGCCAGCCAGCCGGGCAGCTGCCAGCCAGACATGGAAGAATCAGGAAAAGTAGGGCATACAGAATGAAAGGAAGGTAAAAAGCCTGAGACAAAACAAAATGAAGAGAAACAAATTAAAGTAAGTTATAAGTGCTAGTGGTACATGCATAAGCTAAGGCTGAGCATTCATAACTAATGAGAAGTCTCTGTGGCATGATTTGGGAGCTGGTTGGTGGCCCAAAAGAAAGCCTGCCACAGGTAGGAGGGGTCTCAGCAGACAAGCAGAAGCTACTGGGCCCCAAGGGCCTGTACTATCATGGAACCGATGCTGGCTATGCCCTGTTCCTCACAGGCCACCTCCCTTCCATCACTGAGGAAATAAGACTCTCAGATGCCCTGAGTCCAACTCTGCTGGTGCCCACTCCTCACTGGTTGAACTCCAGAAAACACAAGGACAAGGGAATTCTGGGTCATCATTAGATCAAAGTGGACTGGGGTCTGAAGACCACATAGCAGTCATGTGTAAAACAGGACACTACTGAATGCAGCTGCCTTAAACAGGGTCACTATAGGGACCATCATCCCATCATTGAAAGGAAAGGCTCAGGGGGCACAACAGCGTGTTCATGGGGAAAGGAGCTTACAGATGGCAGTTTACTGACAGGTAACTCACTGCAAACAGGTATGGTACAGGACAGAGAATGCTGACAGCAGCAAGGTAGAGACGGGCTGGTTAGTCACAGCTCCGTCCCATGTGCCCCTAAGTCCCCTCAGTGAGTCCCTCACCTTCTCCACATGCAGTGCCAGTTTCACACCATTGTGCAGCCAGGACAGCGCCACGATGGGGTCCCCCTCCACCTGGCTGCCCACTGAGCTCTCCCAGCTGTTGGCCAGGTGGTCAGCCATGCTCCAACATTTGATCTGCCCATCAGCATCAGCTGACAGGAGTCGGGAGCCTGTGGTGACAGAGTGGCATCAGGAGGCCTCCTGATGGGCAGGTTGACTGCCACCCCCTGCCCCCACACGCTGAACTCCCAATGGGCAGGGTAGCTGTCCACCCACTCTGGATTTAGGACTGATGACTGAGAAAGGAAGCCCATGCTGCTCAGGGCTCTGGACTGAGAGTGAACCTCGTGGCTCACCTGACTGGTCCCATTCCAGGCAGGTGATGGCCTCGCTGTGGCCAGAGCTGACGGAATGCACTTCCCAGGGATGTTCTGTGTCCAGGATATGGATCATATGTGTCAGGTCTGCAATGGAGGGAGAACAGGTGAGGTCGGTGTGGCTCAGTGTCCCAGGATTCCCATGCCCATTTCACCACTCTGGGTGCTCCTCCATGCTGCTAATCCCCTGGAAGGGGTTATCCCATGCAGCCACAACGTCCCTCTCAGAGGCCTCTATAAACCCTCTAACAGGCAACAGAGAGCCTGGCTCTGCCACCATGAGCCTTTCAAACTAGGACACTCTGTGTCTGGAAATCTGAGATACAGTGGATCCACACCTAGCACTGTCTACCTCCATGTCGTGGATCCTCAGGTCCCAGCCAGGGGAGGGGGACAGACACTCACCCTGGTCATCATTTCGGAGGTCTGTGGTGAAGGCGATGAGGTTCCTGCAGGACCAGGCGCAGGCCAGGGGCAATGACGGGCAGTACGTGCTCTTGGCCCACTTCTCCCATTCGCACACGTAGGCCAGGTCCATCATGCCCACAGCACCCAGCACGGTCCCTGGCTCCTGGGGAACAGGGAGAACCTAGCTAAAATGTATCAAGAATGTTCTCCAGTCCCTGAAGCCCGAGCCCTATTATAAATTCCATGATGCGGGGCCTAAAGTCACCCTCCCTACCCACCTAATTACCCACCCAGATCTCAGCCTGAGCTCAGCCTCCAAACACTAAGCACCCTCCACAACCAGGCCCCACTCCTACCCCTTCAAGTCTGAGCCTCAGTTCGCACTCCAAGTTCAGTCCCCACGCTCCGCTCCCAACAAGTTAGCCTCCAAAGCTGCGCCCAAGACCTAAATCCTGAGCCTTAACATCTACTCCAGGTACCTTAAACCACGCCCCGCCAAGCTCGTTAAGTTCCACCCACACCTTCCAAGGCCCTAGGCTCAGCCTCCAAACCAAAACTGCCAGCTTCAAACTCCTCTTCTCAGCCGGTGATTATGAAGGGGGCCAAGGACTCCTTCATCATTGCCAGATCGTCAGGCCACGCCCCCACCTCTTTTCAAGGATGCTCCTTAGGCCACGCCCCTTCCAGCAGCTTCATTGCCTCAGGCTCCGCCTCTCCGCTCAACTTTTGACTCAGGCCACGCCCTTTCCCGGGATTCTCAAACCCTCGGGCCACGCCCCCTCAGCCTAGTCGCTTAGGCTTCACGTCAAGCACGCCTCTTCCACACCGTCCGCTACCCAAGAAGCTTTGCTCCCCGGCCCGCCCTCTGACCCCACGTGCTCCGCCCCTCTGCCTTCAGCTCGTGGTCCTTGCCCGAATTGCGCCGGTCATGCGTCCCGCGTCCTGGCACTGACCTGTCCGCCCCGAGCGCCCAGTCGGCCTGGCTGCCGCGATCCACACTCGCCCCAGCGCCCGGGATCAGGCGCCGCCATCTCTCGGCCCGCGCCGGCCCCTCGCACAGACTTCTGGGAGAACCCCGGCTCCACCCCCTACTCTGTAATTTGCATATAATAATTCCAAGTAACCGTTGTGGCTCTATGTGCGAAAATAGACAAATAATCTGCCATTTCTGATCACTAGCTACATCTTACATTATAAATTTTGTCTTATGTGAAATAAAGTGGAGAAATACTGAAATTTCGTAACCAAATTGTATTCACCCTAAGCAAGTAGAGCTTGAATTCAGAGTGTATAAATAGTACCTACACAAGCTAAACTCCCGTGCTCGCTTCGGCAGCACATATACTAAAATTGGAACGATACAGAGAAGATTAGCATGGCCCCTGCGCAAGGATGACACGCAAATTCGTGAAGCGTTCCATATTCTTGCTGTCTGTCCCTCGGGAAAATCCAGTAGCTATTTACTTGTTATCTTCTGCACGTTCACTCATGGTAAAATTAGCACCCACGCTTAACTACGTTTTCTCTCCCTTTTTGTTTTCTGAGACACGGGCTGCAGAGTTCAGGTTAGCCTCACACTGTTTAAGATTGTGTTTTCAGCTGGGCATTGATGGCACATCCCTTTAATCCCAGCACTCCGGGAGGTAGAGGCAGGTGATTTCTGTGAGTTCGAGGCCAGCCTGGTCTACAGAGTGAGTGCCAAGACAGGTTTGAAAACAATACAAGGAAACAAAAAAAAAAAAAAAAAAAAAATTGTTTTCAGCCTCCAGAACAACTGTGGACCACCAAGCCACTAGTTCAGCCATTACCATTACTTTCTTATTATTATTAATATTTGGGTTTTTGGTTTTTAGTTTTTTAGGACAGGGTCTCTCTGGCACTGAGTTTGAGGTTAGCCTGGGCTACATGAGATGCATAGGTCTGATGTTGGAACTTTAATCCCAGCACTCAGAAGGCAGAGGCAGGCAGACTCTTTGAGTTTGAGGCCAGCCTGGTCTGTAGAAAAAGTTCCGGGACAGCCAGAGCTACACAGAGAAACCCTATTCCAAAAGATGTAGCCCAAGCTAGCCTCAAACTCAAGAGTATATGGTGCGGGTGTGTGTGTGTGTGTAATTGAGCATGCCATACAATCAATTGCTCTACACACTGAGCCACAGCCTGGTACCACATCTTTAAGCATTTTACACATTTTAAAATGAACTAAAGAATCAAGGCTGGAGATTGCCCTGTGTCCTGATTTCTGGCGCACAGTCCTCAGTGACCTGTCACTTTCCCACCAAACCCAAAGACACACACAGCCAGGGCCCAAGCACCAAGGCTTTATTAAAAGTGTCCCTTTCCCCCAAGCACAAAGAACCACACAGAAGGGGAGAGGGCAGGCCTGTGCAGCCTCTGCAGTGATCACAGCTATGGTGGACACCAGAGGCTGCAGGGGAGGAGGACAGGGCACACAAGGTCAGAGGCCTCTGTCTGGAAGTCCTGGACCCTGTAATAAGGAGGAACAGGAGGAGGATCTGAAGGGCAGGCAGAGCTCAAGGAGTCAAGGACACAAAACACACATCTCACACACACACACACAAAAAAAAAAAAAAAGCATAAAATCAGCCCTTGAGACGAAGCTTGTCCAGGTTCACCAGGTGTATGGCATGTACATGTACACACACACACATACACACACACACACACACACACACACATGACAAAGTGCCCTGGGGGGAGATCAGCCGAGTCCTAGAGAGGACCAGACACCCCCATCAGAGCTGAAACCTGGAGGGGTCAGGCAGGGGTCACAACAGAACCCACTACCAGCTGGCGCTAGGTGTTTTGGTTGTGCCTCAATGCTTCAGAAGAGAAATTAAAGCAAACCTATCCCAAATGCCAAATCCATTAAAACTGATTGGGGGGGGGGGGTACAGGTAAAAGAGAGTCTGATTTGAGCCTCAGAGTGCACCAAAGAAAAGCTAAACAGAGAATAAGCATGGAAAGTATAGCTCAGGTCTCCCCACCCAAATACAAGTACCAGAAAAGAGGGCTACCTGCCCTATGTTAGCTGGGCTGTGAAGGGACAGGGGCAAAGGGGACTGCCAAGGAGAAGTGGGGGTGTTCGGATTCTGAAAGTATGCAAGAAATTAGCAGACACTGGAGGTGTGGGCCAGGCCAGTCGGCAGGCAGTGGCTCTGTCATCACTGCTGGTCCAGGTAGGCAGACAATAGTAGCTCTGGAGGCAGGAAATCCAGGTGACGATTGCTGACCTTCATCTGCCTCCGGCCCTCCAGGTCAGCACCTGCAGACAAGCCATGTGAGGACTGGAGGAGCTGGGCCAGTGTGGCCTCCCCTAGCAGGCACAAAGCCCCGGAAGCAGGAGAGTCAGGACCACGGATCACATGCACAGGCTTCTGTGCATATGGCTATTCACGTAATGCACTGGAGGGGTGTGTGGCTAGCCATGAGCTGTGACTCCTCTGTCCAGCGGCACCCACTTCATCCAGACAGTTCAATCCCTACAAAGAAGCCTCCCCCACACTAAGCCCTCCCCATTCTCAGTCTGTGAGAAGAGGCAGAAATGTGGAGGCTCCTGCATCCTGCCACCGAGGGAACCAATTCCCAGGGTTGCCATGGAAAACTATCACCACAGCAACTCCAGGCAGGAGGCAGAAACAGGTAGAAAGAAAGGGAAGAACCAGATGGAGCACCTGGAGCCACCAAGGTTCCTGACAACCATCACTGGAAGGGGGCAGCATCGCATATACAGGAAAAAGAAACACAAAGGCCCATGGTTCTGGCAACCTATCTCCTCTCCAGGTCTGGGGCAGACACTTGGTCTCTCTTTCCTGGAGCTGTGGATGGAGTGTATCTGCCCACTGGACACCAGAGCATATTCTTCACGAGTTAAATAACTATCAGGGTCCCACAGCCATGCCTCTGCTACAAGCCCACACACCACATCTGGGGTCTCCCATTGCTTCCTCAGGAGGAATGGGTGAAGGGGCAGTGGGAGAAGGCACTCACTGGCTGAGATGAGATCCATGTACTGGCAGACGGCGTGAAGCAGAAGCCTCTCAAAGCTGTGGAGGAAGGGACATGAAGGGCTGAGCCAGAGCAGGGAAGGAGAGCACCCTCCTCCCCACAGCTTCTGTACCTGTTGTCCAGCATGGCGGTATACACAGCCTGGGGAGACACGGAGAAGAACGCCAGCAGACGTTCCTCCCAACTCTCCAGGGTTTCCTGTGGGGGTAGGAAGAGCTGAGGGGTCACAAAATCCATAGGACGTGCCCTAGCTGTCTCCAAGGGTATCATCACATATTTGGCCCTGCCTTTTGTCAGTCAAACTCCTATACACTCAGCAGTACCCACTTGCATTGGACCAACCTCCTCCTCCTAAACACCACTGGGATGGCACCTGTCACCTCTTTACCAAGTCAGAACAGAGAAAGGCCAGGTTGAGAGGAAAATGTGGCCACTCACCATCGGGATGCGGCTGCGCTTGAGCACAGACCGTAGGCGACGGCTGATGCGCCTGAAGCACTCATGAGGTGTGAAGGCTGGATCCTCTGTGAAGGGGGTACAGGGCAAGCTCAGGCCTGGTCCTCCAGCCTGGCCACACCCTGGGCTGACCCCGCCCATATGTGACATACCAAAAGGCTGGGCACATCCACTAGGGAACCTGGTCCCTGTACCCAAGATGACCAAGGAGCTTCAAAGCCTCAAGGCCCCGCCTCTGCACAACACACCTGACCCCGCCTACTATCAATGCTTCTTGGTTCTGCTCACATTTGACACAACTTGACCTCGACCCCGCCCATGCTGACCCGCCCCCAGCCAGGCCCTACCTCTCTGTCTGTCCTCCCCTCCTCGGCTAGGCCCGCGCCCTGGCCTTCGCTTGCCCTGGCCCTCATCCTCCAGGTAGCGGAGCACTCGCTCTTGCTCCTCTCCAGAGCGGTTCATAAAATCATTCCAGACCTGGAAGAGAGTTGCAGGCATGAGAGAATCACTCCATGGAAGCCAGAATGGGACGCACCACCAGTGACATGCTGTCATGTGTATCAGATAGTCTCCAACTGGTCATCCTCTATTCTAACACGGACAGCTGATAAACCCAGGGGAGGGGTGGGCACATCTCAGGCTGAGGGGGGCCCTAAGGTCTCACCTCCACATAGGTGGCATTGCTGCAAGCTTCTGCAAAGATGCCAGGTGCTGCAGGAGGAGCCAGGTCTCCATCTTCCAGACCTGGAGGACCCCCAGCTGTCTCCAGCAGTGTAAGGAGGTACTGGGCTAGATGGAAACAGGACCCATGGTTTGAGGCAGTGTTTGAGGTTCCTACTCACTTCTACTGTCAAGTTTTGTTTTGAACCCAGCCAGTCTCTAGAACCCCATCTAGCTCTCTTGCCTTATCAAACTTTTATGCATCCTCTGAAGCCCTTAGTGTAATGCCTGGCCAGTGTAATTCACAGCCAGGGAAGCATAATGTCAACACACCCCACTCCCTGCTTACTGTTCTCCAAACGCTGCAGACTCTTCCGTCCCTTGGCTTTGGGCACCAGGTCCGAATTCCGTACAGCCTGGTTGATAAAATGTTGCTTGCGCCTTGAGGCTGAGACCCTCTTCACCTGTGATCCGCCTAGTGTGGGCAGGCAGCCGGGAAGGGGCCTGTGGGCCAGGGAGGAGCCCATCAGGGGCCTCAGTGTCCCTAGCAATGCTGAACCTTACCTCCCCTACACACACACACACACCCCAGGTTCCTGTGTGTGGAGACCTGGGCCCCATGGAATCTCAGGACACGGGTTATGATGCAAGAGGGGTAAACTGAGGCTGTGAGAAGGGAAGGCATGAGCCCTAGTTGCATGGAGTGGTGGCCCCTCAACCACCCCCAATCTCCCCAACTTAAGCCACAAGCCATCAAGGTCCCCATGCACTCCAGGGGTTGGATGCCAACCCCCCTGGAAGTGAACCCTCTCCCCCATGCCCTGTAAACCAGAAAAGAGCCAAGAGCCACAGGATCTCAAGGTGACAGGCACCTGTCAGGGGTGGGCACTGATGGAAAACAGCTGATCATCCTCTCCCAGGAGCCTAGACTCTGCTCAGCAGGGCAGGGTAAGAGCCACAGGGGAACAGGTGGCCAAGTAGTGGTCTTGGGGTTGAGCCACATGCACAAATCAGGCTCAGCCACCCAAGCCCCAGGCGGCCCATCCTGGGCACTTTTCAGGGGCCTGGATCTTCAGCTCTAGTGGGGTCCCTACCTCCAGGCAGGCCACCATTGACTGCGCTGAAAAGGTCCCTGGGGACTTGAGGACCAGAGAGGGACATCTTGGTGCTTGGGTCCCCTCTGAGCAGGGTGAGACCTGAGGCCCCCACAGGAGGGAACTACTAGTCCAGCTGCCAAGTTTCTACCAGCCCCGAGGTCTGAGGCTGGGCCACTTCTGCCCTCGATTCACCCCCAGGCATTCAAAGCCACACCCTGCGGTTGGTGCTGGCTGATAACAAACCGCAGCTGTCCTGCAGGACAGACTGATACAGCAGTGCAACATGGACATGCATGAACCTGGGTCCAAGCTTGGATGGCTGAGCCCACTCAGACCAAAGGCCACCAGGCTGGGGCTGATCATAGCTCCCTAGTGCCGCTAGTGTGAGCCCTCTGGCTCCTTGTCAGGCAGCACATGGTCACTGTTTAGTTCTAAGGAGACATCACTACCCTCTTGTGGGCTCCAAGAGTCCCTGGAGACAGAATTGCTCCCTGAATTCAAACTTGTGCAAGCTGTGCTGGGAATGCCTTTCCTGGTTCTGCCAGATTCTGATCTCTGTCCCAGAAGGCGGCACCCAGGTCCAATCAGCATTTCTTGATGTTATACCAACTGGGACCCAGATGGTCCGAGCTGTCTATTCCTTATGTGTTCACTGTGCCTCCCAAGAGACCAGCACTGTGACTCCCAGGCACACAATGGGACTGAATGAATAAACTAAACTCTAGAGTTTGTTGAGTGAATATGCCTTTCCACATAGCCAGGCCATTTCACAGAAACTGAAGCTGAGAAGCCAGGGAAGGTGTTTGAGACCTCAGAATGTGACCGGCGGGGTGGCTAGAACACAAGGCAGATGGCACTAAGTCAGTAGAGGTTTGGGGAAACACAACCCTTTTGTTGCATTCTGCTGGTTGGGCAATGGGACCCTGGCTTGCCAAGACACACCCTGGGTACAACACACCTTCTTTGGCAAACACTCCCGGAACAGCAGAGAACCCAGTTCCCCAACAGGAAGCAGGGTGGAGGTGACTCAGTGCCCCCAACACCCAACAGGCAGTTGGACACCTGGGTGAGGCCCTGATGGGAAGTAATTTACCAAAACAAACTTATTTACACCAGAGTCACAGCAAGGACACTTGGAATAGCTGGGTGAGGTCCCAGGAGGCTGAGGCAGGGAGGATCAGGAGCTGCAGGTCATTCTCAGCTACACAGAGATCCTGAGGCCAGCCTGGGCTACCTGGGACCCTGAGTCAAACAAACAAAACAGAACAAGGCCAGGAAAGACACAGTTAGCACACCAGGTGCCCCTGCAGAGGACCCAGGTCTGTTCCCAGCACCCACAAGAGGCTTACAACTGTCTGTGACTCCAGTTATGGGGACCCGATGCCCCCTTCCAGCCTCCACCGGCAGTACACACACACACACACACAAGCAGACAAAATGCCCACACACGTAAAAATAAAATATTTTTTAAAAATACATTAAAACAAATCCAACAGGCAAAGGCGGAACCAAATAGGACCCTGGATTGCTAGGCACTATGGGAGCAGAGCTTTGTGCCTGTCATGTCCTGTGTGGTCCCCTCCTCCATCCCCCAACTCAGAATGAAAGCCTCGGTCCACATCATCCACAAATGGGCACAGAAAGGCTCAGCAGCTGCCCAAAGGCCAAGTCAGCTCTTGTCACACAGGGCCGGGGTCACAGGACCCAGATTTCTGGGTAGACACATATGCTAAGGTGCCACACCTGCTGTTCCAGGATAGACCACTTCCCACCGCTTTGAGAACTGACCCTCAGAGACACGGAGTGACCACTGCCAGGGCAGCGGAGGGAATGGGAACCCTCAGAGGGTGGCTGGGCAGTTTTGGCTTTCCAGTTTCGTGCCAGGAACAGGAAAAATCCCAGATGCCCAGGCAGGTTAGCGACCCCTCCATAGAGCAGGAGGTCCCATAGAGTGGGGTCCGCATAAAGCAGGAGGTCCCATTGAGCGGGGTCCTCATAGAGCCGGGATCCCCACAGAGCAGAGGTGGAGGCTGTGTGTGGTGAACAGCCAGGGGAAGGGGTGTGGGGTAGAGAGAGAACACATCCATGGGAGGGGATTGGGAAGGAGGAGAAGGGGAGAAGGGAGCAGAAGGAGACCCCAGCCTGAGGAGAAGGAGGGGAGGAGGAGCAGGAGACCCCAGCCTGGGAAGGAGGGGACCGGGAAGAGGCCCAGCCCTGCTCACAGCCTGGTCTCCGCGCCGGGGGTAGCCTCCGGGCCGCCGTCAGGGTCGTCCAGAGCCACCATGGCCTGTAGCCGGGGTTGCAGCCCGGCCCGAGGCCGCGGAGGAAGTGACGCGCGGGGCGGAGTCTGCAGCGGCACGGGGCGGGGACAGTCGGGGAACAGCATCGGCTGCGGAGTAGATGCCCTGCCTCGGTTTCCCTGTCCTTAGACACCGCGCGGTGTCATCCAACGGGCTGAGGATGGTCTGGGCCGCCCGGGGGGGGGGGAGAGGGTGGGACACACCAGCCTGGAGGCGACTGCGGAGCTCTGCAGGCTCCTGGGATGTGGGTGCAGGAAGGGGTGCGCGCCCGAGGAACCGCCTGCGGTGACGGACTCTGCGGGGGACTGAGGCCGAGAAGGAAACCCGGCCCCAGCCCGTCTGAGCCAGCCTGGTGGAGAGAGAGGAGGGAGGCCGGCCGTGGTGCACGCCCCAGCACTCGGAGGCTGTGGCAGGAAGACCATAAGAGTTTCAGGCCAGCCTGGGCTACAGGATTGAATTGGAGGGAGGGCAGGTGCGGTGCACACCTGGCCTTCCAGCACTATTTAGAAGAGGCAGGAGGATTAGATATTTAAAGTCATCATCAACTAACAGCAAGTTCAGGGCCAGCCTGGGCTATGGGGAAAGCCACACTCCTTCGAGCCTAAAAAACAAAACAAAACTATTTAAATTAATTAATTAAAACAAAAGTCAGCATTCACACCGAGGCGTTGTGGCAGGCGAAGCGAGGCCTGTGTGCAGGAATCCCAGGCCGAGAGAACGGAGGGGGAGGAGCTGTGAGGGGTCACACCTGAGTCGCTCTGTGGGGTTCATTCTAGGACCCCCCCAGCCTGCACCTTGCTCCGCAGAGTACTGTTCAGGGGCCCAACACCCTTCAGAATCCCCAGGGCTGCTTCCTATTTGCTCATCCTCCCCCTTTGAGTCCACCCACTCAGTATGAGGCTGAACCCTGAACACAAAATAAATAAAATACATCGCCACTGAATTTCACCTTCGATTCCCTCTTGCAATTCATTTTTATTTTTCTGTGCTGCGTAGTATTCCAGTGCCATGCCAAGGAAAACATCTCAGGGACCCTAAGGGGTTTCTGAGATACGTTGAACAGGTGTGTGACAGTGTGGCTGAGATCAGTTCCTCACCGTTACTACGGATAGTTTCCACGGTGCCACAGGAACTGGCTACTGGGTGTCAGTTGAGGGGGAACCTTGTCATCACTAGCCAGAGTCGGCCAAATGGAATCCAAGGTCCCTCCCCTGTCCTGAAGCTTCATGCCTCCCACTGTCCCTCAGGGCCTGGGCCACTCGCCTGTAGCCCCTGGCTGAAGCTGGCCCTGCGAGAAGGGCCACGCCCCCTCCCCTGCTTGGTGCCCAGCGCCCTCCCTCCTCTCATCCGGGGGTGCTCTGAGAAGAGCCAGTGCAAGGCTCTGGATCGGCTACTACGCAGGGAGACGCTAAGGCGGGGACAAGGGAGGGTGGTGCGGGGGGTATAAAAGTTGCCGCTGCGACGGACGCTGGCAGATGAGCCACGTTTCAGCCCCCTCCACTCGCTGGTGCGCTGGCATCCCCGGAGGGCTGCCCTGAGAAGAAGGGCGGGGTCTTTTCTCTGATCTCCACAGTCCCCGGACGCACTCCCCGAGGGCTGCCTGGAGGAAGAAGGCGACCGGACTATGGCTACCGAGGCGACCTTGGGTCCCAACGCGACCTGGTGGCCTCTGGCCAACGAGTCGGGATGCCCGGGCTGCGGTGCCGGTGCCAATGTCTCGGACACCCGGGGCTCCGTGCCCAGGCCCCTGGATGCCTGGCTGGTTCCTCTGTTCTTCGCTGCACTCATGTTGCTCGGGCTGGTCGGGAACTCTCTGGTCATCTACGTCATCTGCCGCCACAAACACATGCGGACAGTGACCAACTTCTACATCGGTGAGTGCGCGCCTTCTTGGGGCTCCGGGGTGGGTACCGGGTCCGGGGTCCACCCCCCTCCCAGACTTCAGCTTCCCCCTGTAGTGTCCTGCCTCGCCTTGTCCTTGGAAGGCTGCAGTCACATCTGGCAGAGTACTGCGCAAGAAGACGTGGCCATTTCTGCAGGTGTCTGTCCTATGGATGTGAGTGAGGGTCTTTGGACAGAGGGGGACCGGACGGAGTGTATGTGACACGCCCTAACCGGTAGCCGTAGCTTGGGGTTACCTGCTGTCTCCAACTTAGAGACAGAGAAACTGAGCTGCAGAGACACCCGGGTCAGCTGGGAATGAGAGTAATGAAGGTGGAGAATGTGTGGGTCGGGGGGTGGTCTCTCCCACCGGACCGAGCGGTCAGGGGCCCGAGTCAGGAGCTCTGGGTGCCCCCACATTTCACCATCAGCGTGTCCCCCACTTGTAGCCAACCTGGCGGCCACAGATGTCACCTTCTTACTGTGCTGCGTCCCCTTCACGGCGCTCCTCTACCCGCTGCCCACCTGGGTGCTGGGAGACTTCATGTGCAAATTCGTCAACTACATCCAGCAGGTGCGCAGGACTGGAGGGGATGAGGGTGAGGTGGGGAGCAGGAAGCCAACCTGGAAGCAGGGGACTGGATGGGGTGGGGCCCGGAGCTGGGTGTGTGCTCTGTTGGGAGGGAGACTGCCTAGGGCCTGAGTGAGTAGGTCTGGGGTTCTAGTGAGGGGTCATGATCAGAAAAGAGTCATGGTCTTTTGTTTATTTTTTTGTTTTGTTAGAGACAGTTTCTTTGTAGCTTTGGAAACTGTCCTGAACTTGCTCTGTAGAGTAGGCTGGCCTCGAATTCACAGAGGTCTGTCTGTCTGCCTTCTGAGTACTGGGGTTAAAGGCGTGCACCATTTAAATTTATTTTTATTTCATGTGTGTGGGTGTGTTGCCTGCATCCCTGTCTGCACCTCGTGTGTGCAGTACTTGTGGAAGCTGGAAGGGGGTGTCGGATCCCCAGAACAGGAGTCACAGGTGGTTGTGAGTCCTGTGTGGGTGCATCTCTCCAGGTTCCTAAGGACAAGGTCTTCCAGGGTTGAAGTCAGAGCCTGGTATGGGCAGGGAGGAGTGGACAAGCAGGTGTATCATGTGGTCTCTGTGTGAAAGCCTGGGATTGGACACCGACGAGTCTGGGTGGGTGTGGGCTAGATCCATAGTGGGTATGTTCTGGGGTGTATGAGTGTGTTCGGGTTGACTAACAAATCCCAGTGTTTCCCTCCTCCCAGCTCTCCCGGTTTTCAGGTCCTACTCTTCAAGTCCCCTCAACCTCAGCCACTGACTACTCCTCCCAGGACATGTTCATGTACATCTGAGTGGTCAGATATGTAGTGGACTGTCAGGGCCCACATTCAGCCCTTGGCTTTTCCAGGTCTCAGTGCAAGCCACCTGCGCCACCTTGACAGCCATGAGCGTGGACCGCTGGTATGTCACTGTATTCCCGCTGCGTGCCCTGCATCGCCGCACTCCGCGCCTGGCCCTGACTGTCAGCCTTAGCATCTGGGTGGGTGAGTGTGACTTGGGGTGGGGGAAAATAGGAGTGCAGATGGGGGGCGTGGCACTGGTTGGGGCAGAGACCATGGCTCCTGGGTGGGACATGTCCCCATTCTCCACCGTGCTTATCCTGGGCGGATGGTGCAGGTTCTGCAGCTGTGTCCGCCCCTGTGCTGGCCCTGCACCGCTTGTCGCCTGGGCCCCACACCTACTGCAGTGAGGCGTTTCCCAGCCGCGCTCTGGAGCGAGCCTTCGCACTCTACAACCTACTGGCTCTATACCTACTGCCTCTGCTTGCCACTTGCGCCTGCTACGGTGCCATGCTGCGCCACCTGGGCCGTGCTGCTGTGCGTCCAGTGCCCACTGACGGCGCCCTGCAGGTGCCGGAAACTCAGGGCCAGGCGGGAGGGGAATCTTGGGGAAAGAGTCGGAGCCTAGTGTGTGTGTGTGTGTGTGTGTGTGTGTGTGTGTGAGAGAGAGAGAGAGACCAATGGTGGTGCTGATAGAGGGACTGCTGGAGGGAACGGGAGCCTGGACTGTATGTGCATGTGTGAGAACACATGATGGAGGGGCGCCAGAGGGGAATTTTGGAGCCCGGACTGTGTGCGTGTGTATGGGGTGGGGGTCCGGGGTAGGATGGAGGGGCTGCTGGGATGCATTGAAACCTGGAGTATGAGTGTGCATGTGTGTGGGGGGGGTGAGGGGATGGCAGGGTGGTGATCGGAGCCTGGACTGTGTGAGGAGAACCCTGAAGGGATCTCAGAGGGGGTCCTGTCCCTTCCCATTAACACCCCTGGGTCACTAGGGACAGCTGCTGGCACAGCGCGCTGGAGCAGTGCGCGCCAAGGTCTCCCGGCTGGTGGCTGCTGTTGTCCTGCTCTTCGCTGCCTGCTGGGGCCCAATCCAGGTGTTCCTGGTGCTCCAAGCCCTAGGCCCCGCAGGGGCCTGGCACCCTCGCAGCTATGCGGCCTATGCGCTGAAAATCTGGGCTCACTGCATGTCCTACAGCAACTCTGCACTCAATCCGCTGCTCTATGCCTTCCTGGGCTCACACTTCAGACAGGCCTTCTGCCGCGTGTGCCCTTGCGGCCCACGACGCCAGCGCCGGCCCCTTGGGTCTGCACTCTCAGACCCAGCTGCAACCCACACCGCACCTCCGCACAACCTGGTGGCACACCCTGTCAGTGAGCCTGGGAACCCTGCTGCAGCATGCTCTTTGTGCATCCTTCGTCCTTCCTCCTTCATGAACACTCAGCTCCACTCTGAGCCAACCCCTGCCGAGTAATCAGTTGTTAATAGCTTAGCTTGTGTCCCGGGTAACCAGTATAAACCGCCTTCTCCTTAGGCACCATGGGCTGTGGTTTTTTGCTGTGGTTGTGATAATTCTTTGTACTCAGCAGCATTTGAAGATTAATATCCCCACTTTCTGCATCTACTTCAGGACTTCATGTTTACTAGACAAGTGCTGGACCACTGAGCTAAATGCCCAGTCCCATTCCTTCTCCCCTACCCACTGTTGTTTGAAATAGGGTCTCATGTAGCCCAAACTGACTCCAACCCTATGTGGCTGAGGCAGACAGTGATCTCTGGCCATGATTTTGGGACCTAAGCCACCAAGCCCAACGTTCTTTTCCTATTTTGAGACAAGATCCTAACATCAGAAAAAATAAATAAATAAAAATGAAGACTGTAAGATTATGTATATTTCTGATATTTATATTTGAAAACAAAGATCCAGCACACATCCAGTTATGGTACATCAGGACTGTCACACCACAGAAGGACTGGCATCCAAGGTCATCCTTAGCCACATAGTGTTCCAGGCTAGCCTGACTTGATGAGACCTGGTATCAAAATCAAAAAGCAGGAGCACACCTTTAACTGCAGCACTTGGGGAGGCAGAGGCAGGCAGATCTCAGAGTTGGAGGACAGCCTCGGCCAAATTGAGTTCCAGGACAGCCAGGGCTACAAGGTGAAACATGTGTGTGTGTGTATGTATGTATGTATGTATGTATGTATGTATGCGAGAGAGATCCTCAGCAGATAAGGTTTCATCATATTCTTCCAGAGGACCCAAGTGCCATTCCGGACACCCACATCAGGTAGCTTAGGAAGGCCAGGTGTGGGGTCCCCTGGCACAGGAGTTACAGTTGGCTGTGATCCTCCACATGGGTGCTGGGAATTGAACCTGGGACCTCTTTGAGAGCAGCCAGTGCTCTTAACTGCTGAGCAGTCTCTCAGCTCCACCTTCTGGTGTTAGTTCTGAGAGCATGCCCTACTGTGTAGCCCTGACTGACCTGGAGGAACTCCCAGAGATCTTCCCAGCTCCTGAGTTCTGGGACAGAAGGGAGGCTGCATTGTGCGGCTGCATTGTGTGGCAGCATCATGCTATGGAGGCAGGGCTCTCACTAGACCCAGAACTTAGTGATTCCTCTGGACTGGCTGGCCAGGAGCCCCAGGGTTCCTCCTATCCCACATCTGGTGCTGGGCTGCAGGTGTACCACATCAGGTCTGGGGTTCTACCAGGGTCCTTGCGCTTGCAAGGCAAGCATGTCAATGGCTGAGCCATTTCCCAGACGGCAACAGTTTGAAGAAGAAAAGGTCATTTTGGTGTGCTCAGTATCATGGAAGGAGAGTGGAGCTGAACATAGTTACTCATAGGGTGGCCAGGAAGCAGAAGGGAGCAAGGGATAAGGACAACCTCATGCCTCCCAAAACATACTTCCTCCAATCAGGTGCCATCTTCCACTCATCACATCCACAGCCACTGCCAAATTAGAAATCTGTTCTGAAATTCATCTGTCCCTGAGGGACCATATACTACCATCTTGAGAAGAAGGTCTTGCGGGGAGCGGGTTACGGGAAGATGGGAATATCACAAATCTGCACATACAAGAACAGAGGTGGTGGCAGTGGCGCAAGCCTTTAGGCAGGAAGATCTCTGCGGGTTCAGGGCCAACCTGGTCTACAGAGGGTGTTCCACGATAGCCAGGGATTCACTGAGAAACCATTTTTAAAACCGAAAAAAGAGAGAAAAATGATATACGGTGGTGACCCTTTCAGTAATTTTAACTTTATAATAAACAGAAGGATCATGAGTTCCAAGGCCATCATGGGCTACAAGTTGATATCCTCTCTGAAGAGAAAAAGCTATGCAGGAGAAAATTAACTTCAGGTCTCGGTTTCTCCAAAGCTAACCCGGGAAACTGGCTTTTTAGGTGCAATGGCACCACCTGGCGGCTACTCAAAACTTGATAGCGCCATTCCCCCCTCGCTTCCATGCGGAGTCCTACCCTGGGCGTAGTTTTGCTGGCTCCCGGCAGGGGGCGCTCATGCTCTGCGAAACCAGTCTGATGACGTTCAAGATCCCAGAGATGTGGCATGTGGATCCTAGGGGGTCGCCATCTGGACCGGAGGCTAAATATATCCCTGCCATAAATGGGACCAGCAGACTTTGGCATTTATATTTAAAGACTTTATTAAAAAATACTCGCTGGAGCCGGGCGGTGGTGGCGCACACCTTTAATCCCAGCACTCAGGAGGCAGAAGCAGGCAGATCTGTGAGTTCGAGACTAACCTGGTCTACAGAGTGAGTTCCAGGCCAGGCTCCAAAGCAACACAGAAGAACCCTGTCTCACAAAAACAAAACAACAAAACCCTCAAATAAAAGCGGGGCAGTGGTGGTGCAACCTTTAATGACACAGGGCAGGAAGAAGCACGCAGATCTGAGTTCGAGGCCAGCCTGGTCTAAGGGCCAGCAACACGGATGGATCAGACTCAGTAGGTAAAAAAGGCACTTGCTAAAAAGTGGCATCCTAAATGGGATACCCAGAATCCACATAAAAGTCAAAGGGGAGACTGACTCTAGTTAGTTGTCCTCTGACCTCTATGTATGTGCTGTGGTAGCTCCTCTCCCCATCTGATGCTCGCGCGCGCGCGCACACACTAAAAATTAAAAAATATTATTTTGCCAGGCGTGGCAGTATATGCTTTTAACCCCAGCACTCACGGAGGCAGAGGCAGGCAGAGCTCTGCGAGTTCAAGCCCAGCCTGGTCTACATAGGCAGCTAGGGCTGCACATGTGGTGCATGGTTAGACTCTTGGCATATATACACACATATAGTTACATATAGTTATATATAGAGTAGCAGATATAACTTTGGTTGTGTACATTATCTAGGCACTAGGACTAAGGTGATTGGGGGGTCCAAACTCACAGGGGACCCAGGAGGTGCTTAGAGTTGGGGTCAGTGTGCTCACCTCATCTTACAGTTTGAAAGTAAGATCTGCAAGTCTCCTGTGATGCTAGAGAAGGACATGGGCAGGCACATGCAGGCCCAGCTCCACCCTGGGGCCACGCCCCAATAGGTCAAGATGTCTAAAAGTTTGAAGGTGAAGTTAGACGCTACCTGCAAGCTTCGAACCTCAGGTTCCAAGCACCAGCTGCAGCTTTGGGGACTGGTCCAGAGGCACCCCACTTCACCAGACTTACCCCTCCCTCAAAGCGTTTTTTTGAGGAGCAGGCTGCCCCCTAACTGTCCAGCAAGGGACCTGAACATCACTCATGGGGAACTTGCAGAAGTGGGGGGGGGGCTGCTCTGAGCACAGCGTTATCCACGAGAGTCTCCTCAACTCTTAGCTGAGTTCACACCATGTCCCAGTTTCCCATTCTGCAAAACGGGCCCTCAGAAACCCACACTCTACGGAGATGCACTGGGTGTACCGAGGCAGGCGCTTCGCTGAGTCGGTTAGAGGTTGGTCCTCCTGTCCCTCTCTCCTAGGCGGGGTCGTCACAGTTCCTCGCATTTCCTCGAACGCGCGCGCAGCCAACTTCGTGCTTTTGCGCACGCAGCACACCCCTCCCAGCATTTGCAGCGCCCCCCCCGTCTCCGCCCCCGCAGTTCGGGCCTCTCCCAGGTTTTTAAGCCCATTTCAGAGACGGGGAGACCCAAGCTGGAAAGGTGTGGGTAATGTAGTGAGCAGGAGGTCGACCTCTAAGCTCGGCTGACTCATCTCACGTTACGGGTGAAACCAGGAAAGGACCGGGGACTCAGGTGGCTTTCCACTCAGAGATGGGGTGAGGAACCTCTGTAACCTTTCTGGATCCCCCTCGACGGGGCTCTCGTAGCCCCGCCCTCCCGCTCGCGTCCTCTGCGCCGTGGGCTGTGGCGTGCACTTTGCGCACAGTCCCTAAGATGGAGGCGGGGCGTCCCTCAGTCCCGTTTCCCCCCCCCTTCCTTTTATTATTTATTATCATTTAAAGGGGCAGCGACCTGAAAATTTCCGTCCACTCAGTCGCGGCTCTCCAGTCCCCCTCCACCTCCTTCCACCGTGGGCGTCCTCAGACTGCGTTGGAGAGGGGGGACCCCGGGGAGGTGTCCTGGGAAAGCTTGGAAAGGGGGACCTTGGAAAGACACCCACTACCTCCTCCTGCGTCCCCGGGGCTGCTGAATCACCGGCGAGGTATTTGCATCTGAGAGCAATTTGTCACACGGCGATTCGTCTGCCGGGTGGGGGAGGGGCGGGGCGGGGGGCCGGTCGCGCGCGGAGACCTCGTCCCTATCCGATCCGGACGGATGGAAGTGTAGACGCGGCCCGGAGACTCGGTGAGGCGGGTGACCCCGAAGTCAGAAGCGTGCACCGGGCACCAGGGGGAGGCCAAGGGAGAGAGAGGCCACCACCGGGCTGGACTCTGGGCACCCGACTATGCGACCCCCGGGCCACCCCGAGCGGTTGGAAAGGCCTTTCGCAGCGCGGCTCCAGCAGTCTCCCCTAGGGCACCCTGGAAACCGACAATTGCGGGGTCTCCAAAGTTAGGCCAAGACGCGCGTGTGGGGGTGTAGGGCTGGGTAGGCGACTCCACCGGATCAGGGTTGGGGCGGCTGTCGCGGCCGGCCGTAGACCTTGGAGACCTTCATCCGGTACGCGAGTGTTCGGGCGCGCGGGGGTCGCGAGTGCGCGCTGTCCCCTGGCGGAAGGAAACGGACCCAGGGTGTGAGTGTGTGTGTACACACGCGCGTGTGTGTACACGCATGTGTGTGTGCGCGCGCGGGGACTGGGGGCTGCGCTCTGGAGACTTCATTTTGCTTTTTCTTCTTAAAAAAATGTTTTTTAATTTTTGGAGCTAGGATCTCACTGTGTAGTACAGGCTGACCTAGAACGCCATTTAAAGCGCAGATTGGCCTGGAACTCAGGGCCATCCCCCTGCCTCAGCTTTCCTTCTCAAGTGCTTGGGAAAATCCCAGGCCGGGCGCCGCCACGCCCCAGTGCCTTCAGTTCTATTTCTCCTCCAAACCTGCGTTCAACGGGGTCTGCTGCCCCTCCCCCTGAGGTCCCTAGCTTCAGTGCGCCACTGGGGTCCCCTCTCCCCCCGCTGGGTGTAACCATCCAGATCCCTCCCTTAGGGTCCTATAGGGCCTCCTCACCCCCCGGACACAAAAGAGGGAGCAGGAAGCGCGGAGTGCGCGCGTGTGTGTCAACTCGCAGCGGGTTTGTCAAATACCTTCCGTTTTTTACGACTTGAGCAGCAGGGGTTCCCCCCCACCCCCCTGAGTTCTGTCTTTCCTAGAAACCTTTGAAATCCCAACTACGTTAGGGGTTTTTGTTTGTTTGTTTTGTTGTTGTTTTACATTTGTCCTCTGACTACTAGGACTTACTGGAATGTTTTTGCACACGTCTCCTGATGAGGAGGGGGACACGGTGCCCTCTTTCCCAGCCCCCTCCCCAGCTCCCGCCCTTCCCCCTCCACCTCCCTGGGAGGAGAGAGGGGCCCCTTTCGCCACCCTCGGGCCCTGGCCTTGCACAACTCCAAATAACCGTGTTTTGCAAGGCCTGGCCGAGCTAGTGACCTCTCCCTCTCTCTCTTTCTCTCCTTCTCTTCCTCTCTCTCTCTCTCTCTCTCTCTACCTCTGTCCTGAAGCCTGGAGGTGGTGGGGGATGAGGGTGTGGCTCAGGGTCTCTTCCCAGCCCCCACTCCAGCCATATCCCCCCCCCCCCCAGACACCAGCTACCAAAGTCCTGGTTGGCCCTCTCTCTCTCTCTCTCTCTCTCTCTCTCTCTGAGAATGTCATAAATTGAGGGTGGGGGCCAAAGACAAAGAGCTGGATGGGAGGCCTCTCCAAGGATGGGCAAGATCAGCTTAGGGGTAATGGTACCCCTGGAGCGTGGGAGGGAAGTCCAGGCTGGCCTAGGGGCAGCTCTGGGGTTCCCACTACCCCCCTCCACCCCAGTACTAGCCTCAGCAGTGGAGGCCTGCCCTGTTCCCCTCCCCCACTGGTCGACCAGGAAGGGTCATTAAACCAAGCCAGCCTGGGAGGGGGGCAGGAGTCTGGGAGAGGGGCTTCCTCTAGCCTTTTCCTTGTGTGTTCTCCACCCCACCTCAAAGAGGGGGCGTCACTTTCAGCATTTCCGTGGGGTGTGCTCAGCTCCAAGTTGTCAGAGGTGGGGGAAGGGCGATGGACCAAGCCAGACAGTGTCCAGAAATGTCCCCTCAGCAGTTCTTGAATCTGGTGGACGGGGTGACCAGCAGCGGCAGGGTGGAGGGATTGTGTGTGCTGAGGCTGGGATGGCCACTCCAATGCCCAGGCCTCTAAAATCTTCCTGTCTTGGGAACCCTAGACTGACAGGAGTCACTTGGGGCCACCCACCTGCCACTGGAAGTCTCACAGTTTAGGTGACCAGATGTCTAGGGAAGGGGACTGCAGACACAGACTTTCCTATTCTCTGTGGAGACCTACAGGGTCTGCACAGCAGGAGTGTTCCCTGGGTGGAGGGTCAGGTGACCAGAATGTCACCAGTGTGTGAATAGCCAGGACCCCTCAGCTGTCCCTCCCCCTCACACCCCAAGGGGTCCATCACAGGTTCAGGTTAGGCTGAGGGTGACCTGAGACCCTCTGTTTGGAAGGTGGACTAAACTTTCTCCTTCCTGAATGGTCCCTTGATTTCAGGGCTGCTGGTTCTGCCCACTGTTTTATTGGTTGCTTATGTGAGGGTTGAGGGTGTGGTCTGGGGCAAGGTGGGACCTGGATCCCTGTGCTGGCTTCTGGAAGGCCCAGAGGGGCTCCCTGGCGAGAAAAGACTCCTTGGGAATCTTATAAGCTGGTGACCCCAGACCCATGTTACTTTCAGAGAGCAGCACAGGACATTCCAATACCCCAAACCTCAGCCTGGGTAAACTCCTAAGCTTCCATTTCCCCCACCTGCAGCGAGCAGGATGTCCTCCCCAGTAACCCCGTCACCTGCATGGTGCCTACCTGTGCCGATTCTCCCAAGTGTGACATGGTGGGCACTGATGTCACGTAGCTGGATAGATCAAGGCCCAGAGGCCAGCTGAGGTATCCCTGAGAAAGCAGGTTGTGAGGCCTAGTACATCACTTGCTTGTATACAGCAAGTACATAATCTTGGCCACAGTTCCCAAGGCCTCTCCAGCCAAGCAACACATAGAAGTTAGATCCAGAACCCAGAATCCAGAGGCGCTCTGGAGTCTAGAACAGGGGTACAGCCAATAAGGGAACAAGAACATCAGGCCCCTCCCCCACAATTCTGCTTATGGGACAATAACCCACAGTGTCCCTGGTGGGCCTAACTAGAAGGGACCCAGAAATTCCCTAGGTGTCCACTGCGGTGACCCTGGTCCCCAAGAACCTGCAGGCAGGTAGATAGGAAGGGCGTACCCTGAGCAGGTATGAGGGATTCTCCCATCAGCCTTTGCTGCTGATTTCTGAGGAAGGATGTGTCCTTGGGGTACAGGTGTGGTCTGACCTCATCTCTGCTATGTTCCCCCAGGAGTCTGCAAGCACTTGAATGAGCCTGATACAAACTTCTGCTCCTGGGTGCCCGACGTGACAACAGGAGCCCATTGATTGCCCCTGGCATGCCCCACCAATCCTCAGCCTGAGTCCGTGGCCCCTGCCCCCACCGGCTGCCACCCTGCATTGTCCGGGTTCCCCCGAGGCCCCCACGCTGCAGTGCAGCCAAGACCCTTCCCCAAAGGGGCCACCCCCACCACCCACCCCTGGTGCCCGGGGTGGCCCACCCCGCAGGGCCATGAAGCTGCAGGCTGTGATGGAGACCCTCATTCAGAGACAACAGCGTGCCCGGCAGGAACTGGAGGCCCGGCAGCCACCGCCACCCCCACCTTCCGAGCCCACTGGTGTCCGGGCTCGGACCACTGTGACAGATGAGGACAGGGAGCCTGAGAATGCCCGGATGCATAGGACGCAGATGGCTGCTCTGGCTGCCATGCGAGCTGCTGCTGCTGGCTTGGGACATCCATCTCCCAGTGGCTCTGAGGATGGGCCTCCTGGCTCAGAAGATGAAGACACAGCCCCAGAAGGGACTCCGAGTTCACCTGCCCTGCGTGGACGAGGCCGGGAGGGATCAGGACACACTGAAGGAGATGGACATTTGTTGGACATGGGCTCCGATGATGACACGTGAGTTGGGATTAGGGTAGCATCTGATGTGTTTCCATGCATTTGAAAAGTGGGAGCCAGCAAGGGTTACCCAGGGGACGTTGCACAACTGAGCAAGTGTTTGCTTAGTGAACCTGTAGTCCTTGAGGGTTCCCTACATGGGGATCTTGAGACTCAGTGTGCTCTGGGGTTGTGCCAAATGCTGCCAAGAAAATTGGACTGAGGTGTGGAGGAGCCGGGATGAGTTTTGACAGAATGTACCTGAAGAATGGCAGAGCACTGTTTACAGCAAATCTAGCACTAGGAGTTGCATGTGCAAAGGTTCTGGGGCAAGAACCTTTAAGAAGATGTGTTGGGGCCCGTAGTAAGAGCTTGTTCAGGGGGTAAAGTGGGCTGTGGGCAGGGACCTACCTGGGGCCCTGAGAGGCCTGTGGCTGTTCTTGTTTGCAGGGAGAGAAACTGAGGCAGGGCCAGTGGGTACTGCCTGCCTGTCTCCCTGACTGAGAGTGCCATGTGTCCATTGCAGGAAGCCCAAGTGGGAAGAAACAGAACTGGAAGAACTGGGGGAGGAGGAAGAGGAAGAAGATGACTTCGAGGAAGAGGAGGAGGAGGGTCTGGGCCCCCCGGGGTCTGCCAGCCTGGGCTCTGCAGGCCTGTTCACCCGCAAGGCCCAACCCGCTCAGGCTTTCCGTGGAGATGGTGGTCCCAGGATGCTGGGTGGCCCTGACCGCCTAGGACCTGGCCCGGCTCACTCCACTCACACGGCGTCCCAGATGCCACCACCGGACCACGGAGACTGGACGTTTGAGGAGCAGTTCAAACAGGTAGGCCTTGTGCTTGGGTCTAGCTCTTTGGTCCAGGGCTTTGATTGTCCCCCCTCTCCCCACATACACCCCAGTCATGTTGCAGGATCCTAGGGAGGCCTAGCTTTGAACTTGGGTATGGCTGAGGTGCACAGGCCAGGGCAGGACACCAGAGGAACATCGGGCACCAGGAACTTTGAGGATTATCTAGGGCTCTGCCTCGTCCTGAGCGTCCTGAGCAGAAAGATGGCTTGTTGCTCTTAGGGGATGGCTTGGTGGGTAAAGAGCTGTGTATGCATGAGATTGAGTTCAGATCCCCACGCACCACAGCAGTGTGCGGTTGCGATCCTAGTGCTAGGAGATGGAGACAGGATCCCTGGGGCTTGCTGTCCAGGCAAGCTGTGGGGTTTGCAGAGCATGTGGCCTGCGCTACGTTGCCCGGGGGCACTCGGTGGCTGCAGCACTGTGAATGTATAGGAGCCAGCAGGAGCCAGAGCATCGAGGCTCATAGATGATTCCAGAGGTGCTGGTGTGTTGGTTGGCTAGGTGTGTGTGTAGGGTGTCTGTGGGACCCCCACATAGATTTCCTTGGCTCGGGAGTGGCATGGAGGAAGCTCAGATCACCCTAGCCCTTCCCTGCAGGCGGCCAGGCTGGAGGAAGTGGCCAGCCTTTGAAGTCGGCAGGCCGATGGAAACCAGATGGTTGGCCTGCCGGGCTGGAGCCTGCATTCCAGCCTGGCCAGCTGGCCCAGCCGACCCCTGGGTGTGTGGCCAGGGTGGAAACCGGCTCCTGGGCTGGCTCCAGGGCCAAGTCTTGTGTGGCCTACGAGGTGGCCCCGGAGGTTGGCTAAGGACTCCAGATGTTCCCTGTGTGACAGAGCTGATCGAGATGGCTTCAGGAGGTGACCTGAGCTCTGCTATTGGGGGCCTGAGGAACAGGCCTGGGGTTCCTCTTAGGAGGGCCATCTGATGCAGAAGCACATGCCTGGGTGGGGGCTCAAGTTAGGTTAGGATCATCTACTTGTGGGGCAAGACACGGTGAATACTCTGTTCTGGTGATACAGCCTCGCAAAGGCCCTGGGGCTCAAAGAATAGTTTCGAGGAAATTAACCCTCTGTGCCCTCTCAGTACCTGCAGAGACAGGGCCCAGGCTGGGTGGGGCAGCCTCACTCTCCATCTCTGCTTCTCAGCCTGGCTTGCTTAAGTGAGTGTTGGGCAGCCTGCCAGTTGACCTGTTAAATGGACATCACTGTTCCTGGGTGTGACCCTGTCCCACCCAAGGCCCGGAGGTGGCCATGGGCTTCAAGATTGGGCCTCCCATGCCCCAGAAGGTTCTCGATAAACATATCACACATAAAAGTGTTTGGCTTGGTGTGTGTAGCCTACACTTCACTCTGTCTTGGTTTTCCTGGTCTAGTACAGGAGTGGCCTGGGCCATTGTATGCATTTGACCAACAGCTCTGTCGATCAGAGAGGGGTTTTAGTTCTAAGTTCTCAAGTTATGTGCTTTTCAAGTTTTCAAGGTGTGTGCATCATCTGATGTTTGCTCAGTGCCCAGGGTTCAGCTCCCTGTAAACCTCAGTGCCAAGCAAGTTAGGCAACCCCGTCCCACTCTGTCACAGCTTATGGTCGGTCACAGAACAGGTACCTCCTGTTCATGTTACCAGACGTATGCTCTATGCTGGTTAGGCATGAAAAGGACAACAAGCTAGGGTTGGCTGCTCTGACCCCAGTTCCCAGAGGCTTGTCAGGACCTTTCTGGGGGATATCCTGGGTCAGGGTCAGAGGTCATGCAGAGACACAGCCTATGCAGGGGGTTTTGTGCAGCAGCTGGAGATGGGGAAACCGAGGATGGAGGAAGCAAGGATTCCCAGCTCATATTTGGTCTCATGGGCGAATAGAGAAAAACACCAAGGTCATTAGACATAGAAATGTACACAGAGCATGGGGAGATGACTCACTGGTTAAAAATGTCCGCTGTGCAGCCATGAGGACCTGTGTTCAGATCCCATGGGCCCCCATAGAAAGCCAAGCAGGCTGGCATGCATCTCTTACCCCTAGGGTTGGGAAAGGTGAGGCAGGATCTCTCTTGGGAAAACAGCCAGGCAAAGGTCCTGGGGAACCAACTGTGTCAGGAGCCAAGTGGTCTTATGGGAAGCAAGACAGCATGATGGCTAGGTTTGGGCATAGTGTCAGCAGAAGCCTGTGTCTGGGACTCGTTTTCTACCACATTGTGCCCTGCTGGCCTGGCACCTGTGCAGCCTGTGTCAATAGGGCTCCAGCCCGTCCCACAGATGTCAGTCCCAGGCCTGGCCTGTGTTGACTCTGGCGTCTGCCCCACTCCCTTCCCGGCACGTGGCGATGCTGGCTGGCTGACTACTTGGCACTGTCTCCATATCTTCCTTCCCAGTCTTGGCCACGTCTGGCTTCCACCAACTGAGCCTAGACAGCTGGGATCCACCCTGGGCTGTGGGTCTGAGGAAGGGACTCCAGGGCTTGGTCAGTGGCTGGGATTAGGATCTGGGCCTCCTGGCATTTGGATACACATCCTGCAGCCTTCCTGTCCCCCTAAGGCCACACCCAGGTTCAGAATGGCCTTGCAGTGATTTTTTTTCAAGCTGGTGATCTTTTGTGAGGATTTTTGTTGTTTCTCTAAGACAGGGTTTCTCTGTGTCGCCCTGGCTGTCCTGGAACTTGCTAGGTAGACCAGGCTGGCCTCAAACTCACAGAGAACTACCTGCCCTTGCCTCCCAAGTGCTAGCATCACAGGCGTGTACCACCACACCCAGGTTCTTTGTGGTTTTTTTGAGGCTGAGTCTGGCTTGTGTCTCCCGGGGCTGCTCTCCTTCCTCAGCCTCCTGGGTCCTGGGATAACAGACATGCACCACTATGCCTGGCTTTTAGCTCATTCACCGATTCAAGATCATAAACAAGATTCCTGTCAAGTTCAGACTGTTTGAGTCTTTCCAGCTCTATCCCCCACTTCTCGCCTACACAGCTCCCAACATTCACATCCTCTGTCTGGACACATCTGTGGCAGAGACCCACACCTGTCATGTTGGATGGAGTCTCTCACTGAGCACAGTGTCCTCTGTGGTATGTCAGAGTGGTGTGTCAGAGTCCCCACTCCTGTTCAGGGCTGTGTAGTACTCTGGCATGTGGGGGGTGACTACGCTGCTTGCCCATTCCATCCATGCTGGATGCAGGGTTTTTTCCACCTTTTGGCTCTGTGGCTTTCACGTAGGTTTATTCTTGTTCCTCTTGGGCGTGTGCCTGGCGTGAAATTGCTAGGTAGAAGGGTATTCGGAATGTGCCTATTAGGAGTTCTGTAGACAGCAGCTGTCTGTCCAAGTTCCCTATGTGCAAGGCCCTGTTCTTCCACATCCTCACCCATCATATCCTGCTCGCTGCCTGACCTCAGAAATGCCAAAAGGAAGCCCACCGTGGTGGCACACACCTGTCACCCCAGCACAAGAGAGGTTGAGGCAGGGGTGTCGAGGAGTTCAAGGCCAGCCTGGGGTGCAGAACAAAACCCTGTCTCAAAATTAATTCAACAGAGCTGGGCGGTGGTAGTGCACACATTTAATCCCAACACTCTGGAGGCAGAGGCAAGTAGATCTCAGTGAGTTCGAGACCAGCCTAGTCTACAAGAGCTAGTTCCAGGACAGGCTTCAAAGCCACAAAGAAACCCTGTCTCGAACCCCCCCCCCCCCCAACAAATACATTCAACAGGGTAGAGCTCTGACCTGTCATGCACGAGGCCCTTTGTCCCTGCCCTAGGCATGGTGGTGCCCCCATCTTTCAGCACTTAGGAGTTGGAGGTAGGAGGATCAGAAGTTTATATCTGAGCCATATAGCAGGTTCCCGAGACCCTGCTGCAGAAAATGGTTAGTGGGATCCTCATTCGTTCTACAAGAAAGGGACTATAGAGGGAAAACTGAGGCACGGGATGGCCATAGTCCCATGTACTAAGGCTTTACTCGCCCTAGTGTCTTCAGAGTCTGGTGGATGGATGGGACCTCCTTATGACCACCAGGTGCTAAGGAAAGCTGGCAGCTCCACTTTTCCTCTTGAAACAGTGAGTCCCTAGGGGGCCAGGGGTCAGTGGGTCAGGCATTGCTCTTATGTCTCAACCTCAGGACCTGGTGCTATATCCCAGGCTGGCCCAGAACGCACCATCTTCCTGCCTCAGTCTCCACCCCTCCACCCTCCCTTCCTAACACTAACACATTAGAAAGATTTTTAACATTCTTTATTTACTTTGTATGAGTGGGGTGTGTGAGACTATGGGCGGTCAGAGGACTACCTTAAGGAGTCAGCTCTCACCTTTCTTCCGCGTGGATGGAGGGACTGAATTCAGGTCACAGCGGTTGGCTGCAAGCTCCTTTACCTTCTGAGCCATCTTCTAATTCCAGCAGGCAACATTCCAGTAGAGAAGGAAAATGGAGTGGAGTGTATCCAGGGAAGGCCTCTGGCCCCAGGGCAGCTGCTGTGCCTTTCCCCTTCCCCTCCTCCCTCACACAGGGAAATGGACAGGCAGCCAGGTGTTAGAGGTGGGAGCTTTGGGCGGGACTGACAGGTCTGTCACTGCCTCACGTGTCCCTACCCCTGTCACCTGGCGTGTCTGCCGCAGGCAGAACTTTCATGGCTACTGATAGTTTCCAGCCTGGTCACTCACACGTGCTTGCTTTCCTGATGTTGATACTGTGAGCCCTCTGGGGCCACAAGGCATGAGGATGGGAAGGAGGTGGGTGGATGGTTCCCTCCCTGTCCTGCCTAGGGGACATTGTGGCTGGGGCTTTGTTGAGTGTTTAAGAGTCCACTGGCCAGGCAAGAAAAACTGGGTCTACTTCTAGAAGCAGAGCATCCTAGAAAACCAGAATTAGCCCTGGTGGGGAGTAGAGGAAGAGAGAGGTACCAGGTGAACTTGGAGGCAGGGACCAGTGGGGCTAGAAAGTGAAGGGTAGGCTACCATTTTCTGCAGAGATGGGTGTACCAGGCAGACCCGGCCACCTGGGTAA